TTTCCTCATCTGCCTAAGGAGCGCAGTATTAGGAGATGCTTCCTAGGATTGTGTCCAGTTAAATGGGATGATGCTCAGAAAAGCATTTATGGCTCCAGTGGCTCACGCCTGTAATCCTAGCTACTCAGGAGGCAGAGACCAGGAGGATTGTGGTTCTAAGCCAACCCCAAGCAAACAGTTCTTGAAACCCTACCTTGAAAAAATCCCTCACAAAAAAGGGCTGGTGGAGTGGCTCAAGGTGCAGGCCCTGAGTTCAAGCCCCAGTACCGCAAAAAGAAAGAAAAAGAACACTTAGGTTAAACGCTCAGGCTTGTTAACTTTCATTATTACTGCTGTCAGCTGGCACAGGGGGCAGGAGTATTGGAATCACTGCTCCTTGTACTGGAGCAGGCACAGAGGGACCTCAGATGCTTGGTCTAAGAGCTTACACCTATAGGGCCCTTGGTGGGCTGGGCAGCTCCCCTATTTCTTTCCTTTGCCCTTTGTCCCTCCTATTCCTTGGGAGTGAACCAGTTTCCTCTGAGAGCTCTGCCTAGGGTTTGGTGGGAAGCTAGGCCTGTGCTTGTGTGTGTGGGAGGCCAGTTTCTGAGCCACAGCAGAGAGGTGTCAGCTGACCAAGTGGGGGAGGAGAGCATTCCTCCAGCTACATGTTCCTGGGGTAGCTGGCAGGGGCACAGATGACTGGCACTACTTGTGTGTGTGATCGTGGATAAAGACACACACATACAATGCCCCTACACATATGCACACACACATACACGCATTACTAGTTCTCTGGCTGTACATCTTTCTTTTTTCTCTGCTAGCCCCCTGCCTAGAGCTCCTCTCCTCCGCCCTCCTCCTCTCCTCCCCGCTCCCCTTCTGTCCACAGAGAACAGTCCCCTGGGGAGGAGTCCTTTCTCATCAAGTTTGGGCCTCACTAAACCTCTTTTAAGCAGGGCAGTACGTGGAGGGACTTTTAAGGATTTGGATCCGGCTTTGGGCTTTGGTTCTGGGAAAGGAGTTTCTCTTCCTCTCTTGCCTCCTGCCTGACCTTGCTTCTCCCTTTTCTACCATGTGAGTTAAGCTTGCAGAGGTCAAGTAGGATGTGATTCTCATTTGATCACAAGGGCTTACTCCCAACTTCTCAGCCATCTTAAAATCTTTAACCAAAGTTAGACTTTTGAAGTAGCAATGCATTTGTACAATGGTATACTCGCCTTTCTTCCCTTCCTTTTCATTCTTTCCTTTTCTTCCCTTCCTCCTTCTCCTGTCTTCCTTCCTTTTTTTTAATATTTACTTTTAATTAGCATAAATTAATTGCACAAAGGTGTTTCATTGTGATTTTTTTTTTTTTGAGGTACTGGGGTTTGAACTCAGGGCCTACACCTTGAGCCACTCCACCAGCCCTTTTTTGTGATGAGTTTTTTTTTTTTTTCAAGATAGGGTGTTGCAGGGAGAGGGAGGGGGCGGAGTGGGTGGTAAGAGAGGGGGTGGGGGCAGGGGGGAGAAATGACCCAAGCATTGTATGCACATATGAATAATAAAAAATAAAAATTAAAAAAAAAACAAAAGATAGGGTGTTGCAAACTATTTGTCCGGGCTGGCTTCAAACCTCAATCCTCCTGATCTGTGCCTCCCGAGTGGCTAAGATTACAGGTGTGAGCCACCAGGGCCTGGCTTCATTATGACATTTATGACATGAATAAAATATACTTTTATCAAATTTATCCATCTATATTACTCACTTTTTTTTGGTGGGACTGAGGCTTGAACTCGATTTCATGCTTGCAAAGCAGGTGCTCTAATCCTTAAGCTATACCTTCAGTCCATTTTGCTCTGGTTATTTATTTAAATTTTGATTAGCACACATTAGTTGTGGGGGAGGGATTCATGGTGACATTTCTGAATATGTTTACATTGTACCTTGGTTAGGTTCGATCCCACCATCTCTCTCCCTCACCCATGTCCCTGCTCCACCTGAAACAATCGTGAAAGGTTTCATTGTTTTATTTCATATGTGTATATGAAGTACATGCACCATATTCACGCTCCTTCAATTTCGCCATTCCCCTTCCCTCCTCCTACAAGTCCTTACTTCCTCCCAGGACCTCTTTTACAGTCCTGTCTTTCATTTTTAATTCCAAAGTCAGTGTTCAAAGGGGTTTCTTGAGGTATCTCAGCTGTGAGTGTACTGTATTTTGGTCAATCCCGTTACTCTCCCTTACTCCTTCCCTCCCACCTCTCCCTACCATTCAACAGCTTTCAAAACACCATTGTTATCTCCTCTACCTACACACGTTATGTGTTCCATTACTGTTGACTCTCTAGCACTCTCTTCCTTTCCCTCCTCCTCCCAGTGCCACAGAGTGGTTCCACTGTTACAAACATGTTCTGGATATATGTGTATATGAGAAGGTTGGTTTGGTGTATACGTTTATCTTTTTGGCTCTATCTCCCAAATATGAGAGAAATCACACAGACTTTGTTTTCTGAACTGGCTTACTTCACTTAACATGATGTCCTCCAATCCATCCATGTACCCGCAAACATGCTCTGGTTATTTTGGAGATGGAGTCTCTTGAACTATTTGCCGGGGCTAGCCTCCAAACCACAATCCTCTGGATCTCAGCCTCCCAAGTAGCTAGGATTACAGGCGTGAGCCATGGTTGCCCGGTTCCTATCTGGTTATTTGTGGATATAAATTTGCCATAGACCATTTGTGTACAGACCTGTTTTCTTCTGAGATTATTTTTTCCTTGATGGGATCTTCGGTTGTTTTGTTTTGGGCAGTACAGGGGGTTGAATGTGAGGTCTCATGTTTACTAGGCAGGTACACTACCGCTTGGGCCACTCCGCCAGCTTTCCTTGACAGGATCTTCTGCGGTGGGCTCTACTCTGAGGTGCAGAGTCTACACACTGATGTGGCCATACTTATTGGCCATCACACCCCAGCTAGGAACGGAGGACGGGGACATGGGGAAGATGTGAGGCTGGTTGAAGTGCATTGTGGTGGATTTTTCTGATAAAACCATGCTTTCTTACCATATTTGGCAGCTGTGCAGCAGAGTGGTTCAAACAGGCCTGGATTTGAATCCCAGGTCTGCTCCAGTGATAAATGTGTGATTTAGGCCAACTAGACCTTGTAAATTCAAATCTCCCTTCTGTCTAACGGAGGTGTCCTTAGTTGCCACTCCACCGTGTTATTGTAAAGATGAGATAACACATGGAAAATGCTCAGTGCTAGGCTGCCCAATACTCAGTATTCAATAACTGAAAGTGATTATAAGCAGGGTCTGGTGGTGCAGGCCTATAATTCAAGCATTTGGGAGACTGAGACACAAGGATTGAGAGTTCTAGGCTAGCCTGGGCCACATAGTAAGACCCTGTCTTAAAAAAAAGAAAAAGCCAGGTGTTAGCTCACGCCTGTACTCAGGAAGCAAAGATCAAGAGGATCATGGTTCAAAACCAGCCCCCGGCAAACAGTTTGCAAGACCTTATCTTGAAAAACCTAACACAAAAAAAAGGGCTGGCAGAGTGACTCAAGTGGTAGAGCACCTGGCTAGTAAGGATGAGGCCCTGAATTCAAACCCCAGTTCCACCAAAAGAAAGAAAAAATGTTTATAGTGATAGCATAGACTCACAGTTTAACATGCATTTGCACATTGATTCAATCCCTACACAAACCTGTGAGGTGATAGAGATTATTATGATCCCCACTTCACAGATGAGAAATTGAGGCCTACAGAAGTGAAGTGAGGAGGGCCGATGGCTCATACCTGTAATCTCATCTCCTTGGGAGGTGGAGATTGGGAGAATCACAGTTCCAGGTCAACCCTAGGCAAAAAGTTATTGAGACCCATCTCAATCAACAAGCTGAGCATGCTGTTGAACACCTATAATCCCAGCTATAATGGAGGATGGCAGTCTGCAATCTGTCACTGGTAAAAAGCAAGACCCTACCTGTAAAGTAACTAAAGCAACAAAGGAAAAAAAAAAAAGTCTGAACAGGGATAGGAAACTAGGTCTCCAGATATCCAAAGCCAGGGCTACACTTTGCAGCCCCTTTTCCAGCCCCCAGGAGTTCTGAGTTCTCTGGCCAGGCCTCACGGTGTGGACATTTAAGCTTTTGTGCCCTTTACTGTGAACAGAGCAATGGTTTATCTCTTAAACTCATTTCCAGTTTTTAAGTGGGGACTGTGTCCATTTCCTGCCCCAAACCTAGGTGGAGTCTGCAGGTGTCTCTAAAGGCGGGCTTGCCACCTTTAGAAGCTGAGCCCACGCTAAGCCACGCCTACAGACCAAAGCCTGGACCCTCACATGGGAAACCAATTCCTGCCAAAGCTCCTCTACTGACAGCACTACCTGCAGAGTCCCTGGAGCCCTGCCGGATGCCCAAAGCCTCACAACGGATCCATACTTCTTTTTTTTTTTTTTTTTTTTTTTTGAGATAGGGTCTTAGGCTGGAGGTGTGGCTCAAATGGTAAAATGGTAGAGCACCTGCCTCGCGAGTACGGTACCGAGTTCAAACCCCAGTACCGCCAAGAAAAAAATTAATAAGTAAGGGACAGGGTCTCGTTATGTAGCCCAGGCTGCCCTGGACTCGCGTTCCTTCTGCCAAAGCCTCCCGAGAGATGGGATTATAGATGCGCACTACCACTCCCGGCTTGTCTTTTTCTAGTGCTTCCACGTCCGAAGTTGTTATCCTCTGGGCCCTCGACGGCGGTACTGGCGCAGATCCTTGTCTACAGGATCCTGGGGTTCCGCCTCCCGCCCGGAGTCCGGATCTTTTATGGCCCTGCCCAGCACCCGGCACCTCACGCCTCCTCTGCTTATTCAACCACCCCGCCCCTAGACCCTTATGACCCACCCCCAAGTGATCTGCACATCCTTAGGCTCCAGGGCCACGTCTCAGCTTCCAGTGCCTGCTGTGGCCGGGTCCCTGGCCCTTAGCCACACCCCTGGCAGTCACGTCTCCGCCCATTGGCCACACCCCTGGCAGGCCCGCCCCTTAGGCCCCGCCCCCAGCGGCCGGGGTAGGGTGGCGGCTGGCCCAGCTGGGGCCCCGCCGCCCTCTGCCCCGGGTGCTCGGTCGGAGCCGGCCGGGGCGAGTGCGGCGGCTGGGGGCTCGCAGGCGAAGATGGCGTCAGGCAGGCGCACCCCGCGCACCGGGCTGCTGGAACTGCGCTCTGGGGTGGCTTCGGGGGCCGGGGGTGAGCGGTGGCAGCGGGTGCTGCTCAGTCTAGCGGAGGACGCGTTGACCGTGAGCCCCGCCGACGGCGAGCCCGGCCCCGAGCCCGGCGCTCAGCGGGAGCTGGAGCCCGCGCAACTCAACGGCGCCGCGGAGCCCAGCGCGGCGCCCCCGCAGCTGCCCGAGGCTCTGCTGCTCCAGCGGCGCCGCGTGACGGTGCGCAAGGCCGACGCCGGCGGGCTGGGCATCAGCATCAAAGGTGGGCGCGGGCCACCCAGGCCACAGGGTCGAGGTGTCCATGGGGTCGCTGAGGGCGGAGGGGTCGCAGGGGCTGGCAGCTCGCGGAGGACACGGAGTCGAAGGCCTTCTGTTTGGGGAGAGGGGGTCCGAGGGGACGGAGGGGAGGGAACGAGGGCGCTCAGGCCAAGGTTGGAGGGGCTTTCAGGAGTTGAGGTCTCGGGGCGGTGGCGGGGGAGGGAGCACGGAACGCACGGATGTGGAGAGGGTGAGGGCGCACCAAGGACATGGGTGGGCAGTTCTGACTAGAGGTATTCGAGTCTGGAAGAGGCCCCAAAAAGCAGACGGGGGTGGGGTGGGGTGGAGGAGAGCATTGAGCCTGGGATACTGATAGGGCAAGGAGGGGAAGCCCCTGAGACACAACCGACGTGCGGGGGTGGGGGCAAGGCTTGGAGTCTGGAAGGCACAGGACAGGTCCCAGACAGTGAGCTAGACATTTGAGGTCCCACGAAAGCTGTATTAGTCTGTACTAGGCTTGGAGTCCTGACAGCTGGGGCTCTTGATCTGTCTGTCCATTTGCACCGTGCAGGATGGAAATGGTGGTCCCAGAATTGCCATTCTTCTCTTTGACCTCTCAGCCTCCAGGACTGACAGCTTTCCTTAGGGTGCACCCAGATTGTGGTTGTGTCTGGATCACTGTGTGAACTTGGACAAGTCACTCCCCATCTCTGAATCTCAGTTTTGTTAATGGTAATGCAGATGATAGAGTTATGATGTTTCTATGAGAGTGGGGCTCACCCTGCCAGCACATGTACTAGGTGTTTGGCTTGGGGGTACCGCTCAAGTACTAGAGTGCCTGCCCTAGCAAGCATGAAGCCCTGAATTCAAACCTTAATACCACCACATATTTGGATGCTTTGCTGTTAGATGAGAGGAAAATGGAGGCCAGGAGAGACTTCCAAAGCAACTAACCATGGTGCTTAAAATCCCTGCACACTCCCAGTTGCTGGGTTCACCATTCCTGCTCATCTGTTGTCAGTCCTCAGCAGAGTGCTTTAGGAAAGGGTGTTAGCCTTTTTATCACCTTGCATGTACTGGTCTCTCCCAGGCCTCCCTGGAGCTGGCTCTGTTCACTAGTATTTCCAGACTCTTTGGCCTGGGTAAGAAGGCGGTGATGGTGGTGATGCCATCATTGTGTGCCACAGGTGCTGTGCCAAGTGCACTTGACTCACGATCCACCTCAACAAGTGGTGAAAGGTAGAGTATAATCCCTTATTGCAGGTGAAGGAACTGAGACTCAGGAGGTAAAGGGATTTTCCCAGTATCACATAGTGAGTGGCAGAGCTGGGATTTGAACCTTTAATTATCATACCACTGTTGCCCTGGGGAGTTGGTTCTTTCCAGTGGAAGGGCAACGTGCCCCCCCCCAAAGGTCTAAAAGGGGAAATGGGGAAATCAGGGAACGGGCACTAGTCTTACCCCAAAACTGTACCCCCAAACTCTAGCATGGAATAGGGCAACAGACTAATCCAAAAATTGTACACTTAAGAGTGTCAGAGCAGGAAGGAACTCTGAGTTCATCTAGAGTTCCATTTGCCTATGGACAAGCTGACTCCAGAAGAACAGGGTCTTCCCAAGGTCACATAGTTACTCTCTAGCTTCATACTTGTAGGTGGATGTGAGGATATTCTTAGGAGAATTCAGGGGAAGTAGCAGCTCCATCCAATTCCTTGTGGATAGAGACTGGGCTCCTGTTGCCATGGTAACCTCCCGTTAGGGTCCAGCTGAGTCCAAGGCAGTCATGAATGATCATAGCTTCAAACTGAACTGAAGTTCCTAGTTTTAGGTGGAGGAGAGAAAATATGAAGAGAAACTCCCTCCTCTCCTATGCCTCAAGCCCTGTGCAGTGTCCTGAGCACACTGTTGGGCCTGTGTGGGTCAGGAAAGGTGTTCCAGTCCCAGCTCTGCCACCAACTTGTTGTGTAACCTTGGAATAATGACCTGCCACTTGGAGTTGCTAGTTCTTCATCTTGAGTACTGGGAGCGTGGACCAAGAGTGGGATATGTGAGGGCCTGACTTGCAGTCTACTGTAGGGTAGGGGGCTGACTGAGTAGCTCAGGTGGTGGAGTGCCTGTCTAACAAGCTTGAGGCCCTGAGTTCAAACCCCAGTACTGAAAAACAAAACAAAACAAAAACAAACAAACAAAAATACTGTAGGGTTAGGAATGTTGATCCTGGGTGGCAGAGTGGCTCAAGTGGTAGAGTACCTGCCCCTCTGTTCAGTTTGAACAGTGTTCAAATCACACTACTGTCAAAAAAAGCCCAGAATGTTGGTTCTGAGTAGGGAGATTTAGGTTCAAATGTTGGCTTTTCTACTTACTAACTGAGTGACCTTGGGGAGGAGTTGTCTCCACACCTTGGTTTCCCTAATAGGGAGCTGTGCATGCCTGTGTGATGGGGTGTTGTGAAGAGGCAGTGAGACAACATTGAAGGCATCCAGCACGGTGCTTGGCACTTGTACGTGGAACTAATGTGAACTATTATTATAACTTCTTATTTTAAAAAGGCAGTTAAGAGTTTAGCAATAAAGCAATTCAGGAAAATGTATTGTCTTTTTTTTTTTCTATCAGCGGTATAATTCAGACAGGCTTTTGAAATCCCTAGAATTTAAGGTCTTGGTTTCCAGCCTGGGTCTTGGGTTGTAAAACTTTATTATTGCTGAAGTGGTCCTTAGGGTCATAGCAATCACTGAGATCTGTCTTAATTCCAGATTGGGGGAAGTATCAGTGGGTTCCCATATTGTGGGAAAATTGCTTAAAATCCAAAATGTTTAAGGCAAATCTTCTTTTTTATATGGCACTGGAGTTTGAACTCAGGGCCTCACGTTTGATAGGCAGGCACTTTTAAGGGAAAAACTCTTCAAGTTTTGTAAGTTACTCAAACACTAATGAGCAGCCAAAGCATTGAACCGTGCTGCTTGTGATGGCACATGCCAGTAATCAACGAGGCAAAGAGGATGAGGCAGGAGGATCGTGAGTTTGAGGCCAACCTGGTCTACGATTTAGGCAAAAGCATTGAACCAAAAGATCGGGGACAAAACTAGAGCAGGGTGAATTTATGAAATAAGTATTATTAGGTCCCAAACTTCTTTTTTTTTTTTTTTTTTTTTGTGAACTCAATGCCTCATGCTTGCTAGGCAGGCACTGTAGCACTTGAGCCACTCTGCCAATCCTGTTTTGTGTTGGGTGTTTTCGACATAGGTATTTGCCTGGGCTGGCTTTGAATCGAGATTCTCCTGATCTCTTCCTCCCTAGTGCCTGGGATTACAGGTATGAGCCTGGCTAGACCTCAAACTTCGAAGGCCCTTTTCTGAGACTCTCTTTGCTGTCCTGGCACTCGGCTGGGCAGCGAGGGAGCCCTGAACGTTGATGTGCCTCCCAAGAGTTGAAGTGCCTGCCTCAGTTTCTTCCTTCTCCTTTGCCTGTGCAGGTGGCCGGGAGAACAAGATGCCTATTCTCATTTCCAAGATCTTCAAGGGGCTGGCAGCTGACCAGACGGAGGCCCTGTTTGTGGGGGATGCTATCCTGTCCGTGAATGGGGAGGATTTGTCCTCTGCCACCCATGACGAGGCGGTGCAGGCCCTCAAAAAGACAGGCAAGGAGGTGGCGCTGGAGGGTAAGTGCTGTGCTCAGAGCCCAGAGGGCAGGCGGGCTGGCGGGGTGTTTAACTTCTTCCCTGTCTCCTTGGGGCCTCAAGCATCCTAGCCTGGCCTTGGGGGATGGGAAGTGGGCAGGCTTCAAAACAGAAACAGAACTGGGGGACCTGCCTGGAATTAGCACGAGGTGGTAGAGGGAGACCGGCACAGAGCGAAGCAGGCCTCATTTGCATCTGCTCTCTCTCCCTAGCAGTGCGACATTGGGCAGGTCACTTCATTTCTCTGAGCCTTAGTCTCCTTGTCTGTAAGATCTATAAAATGGGGATGTAACCCCTGCCATTCTGGGTTGCTGTGAATGGGACTGAAGGTATCATGCAGGATGTGCCACACAGCGTGTGACTCAGGAAGAGAGAAGAGTGGGCACTGGGGAGGGGACGGCTAAGATTCTTTCCTGAAGGACCTGAGGAGTTGATTAACTACAGTTTCTTCTAGCACCCAAGGTCCCTCAAGCCTCAAGACCCATCTTCATTTGGAAGAAACTTGGCCTCTTCTCTTTTCCTTTCTTTTCTTCTTCTCCTTCTCCTCCTCCCTTCCCTTCCCCTCCTTTCCCTCGCCTCCTCCCCTCTCCTCCCCCCCTCTCCATTCCCTTCCCTCCTCCCTTCCCTCCTTCCTCTCCCCTCCTCGCCTCCCCTCCCCTCTCCTCTCTCTCTCTTCCTTTTCTTTCTTTCCTCAGGGATTTATACTTGCTGGAAAGGTCCTCTACCAGTTGAGCCATGTCCTCAGTCCTTCTTTCTTTTATTTTTCAGCTAGGATCTTTCATTTTTTTTCTCTTTAGCTGGTGTCAAACCTTGATCCTCCTACCTACAGCCTCTTGTGTAGCTGGGATTACAGGCATGATCTACCATACACAGTTTGTTGATTAAAATGGGGGTCTCACTAACTTTTGGGCTGGACTAGTCTCAAACTTTGAGCCTCTGGCACTCCTCTTTTCAAGTATAGCTGAGATTACAGGCATGTACCACCATGCTTTGTCCAGAGATGAGTTTTTTGGAGGAACCTTGGTGGGGTGTCTTTCTCCACTATGTCTTCACTGTGTGTGGTCTTGGATGAGAGTCTCACCTTCTCTGGGCCTCAGTTTCCCCATCAGTGTGGTTGTCCCATATTTTCATGTGGCATCTCTCTCAGGTTTCTGCTTTGCTGAGCCTTTTCCTTACATTCCACTGGTCAGCTCTGAAAGCCCATGGGGGCCAAGGAATGTGTCTTTGATTCATTGCCCAGAGTAGGCCCGGGGAGGTGGTGGGGCTGATGGAGAATGTCAGGGCCAGAGTCCCAGCTGCAAGGCCTGCAAGGCACCATGGAGGCCAACAGGCTGTGGGTGCTGGGTGACTGGGGGCCCAGACCTCCATTCCCACTCAGTTTTTTTTTTTCTTTCATTTTAGGTAGATCTGTAAATGCTACAAATACATTTTCTTTTTCAAACTTAAAAAGAACTGACTCCAGAGTATTAGCCCTTAAAAGCTTAGAGTTTATCATTCACGTACAAATACAGTGGTTCTGGGGACCAAATCGAGGGCCTCCTCCTGCTAGGCAAACACTCTGCCACTGGGCTATGCCTCTGGCCCCTATTAATCATATTTTAACTGCAAAGTCAAATAATAGGATTGTACATAAAAGATATGTATATGAGACTTTTCCTCTCAGGTGACTTATTACTTTGATATTTATAGGTAGCAATGTGGTTTAAAACAATTGACATTCAGTAAAATGTCACATTGTAGTTGACTTGAAAGCTCTTTTAGTTTCTGCTGTTTTGAGATTTAGTCTGTAGATGGTAAAATTTATGCTGTAGCCATGTTTCTAACCCATGCTTCTAATCCACATGGAAGAGGGCCCCTCACCTTCCTCATCTTTAGGTTGAGAACAATTTATCTGAGTTCTTAGTGTGTATATCAATCTGATAAGGAATTGGCTCAGATTTTTTTTTTTGGTTGTACTGGGGTTTGAACTCAGGCCTTGTGCTTGTGAGGCATGGGCTCTACCACTTGGGCCACATCTGCAGTCTTTTTGCTTTTACTGTTGGTTTTTATTTTTATTTTTCAGCAGTACTGGGGTTCGAACTCAGGGCCTGGCACTTCCCAGACAGGTGCTCTACCACTTGAGCCACACCCCAGTCGTCTTTTTGCTTTTAGTTTATTTTTCAGATAGGGTCTCAGGCTTTTGCCTGGGCTACCATTGGACCATGGTTCTCTTACGTCTGCCTCCAAATACCTAGGATTATAGGTGCGTGCTACCAGTACCTGACCTTTCTTCTTAGCTCCAGGGCTGCTTCTGAGAGTTCCACCTTTGGGAGGATTGAGAAGCCTTGTGTTGGCTCAGCAGAGAGGAGTGGAATTGATTCAGTGTCTTCTTTTTTGGCGGCACTGGGGTTTGAATTTAGGGCCTCACACTTGGCAGGTGCTCTTACTGCTTGAGCCACTCCTCCAGCCCTTGATTTACAGTCTGTCACAGCAGTAGCTGAGAAGAGAAGAGACATGTGTACCAACCTTGCTCTTATGTTCTGAGACTTTTCTTGTGTGTGTGTGTGTGTGTGTGTGTGTGTGTGTATGGTACTGGGGCTTGAACTCACAGCCTTCACCTTGGGTCACTCCACTAGCCCTATTTTTGTGATGGGTATTTTCGAGATAGGGTCTCGTGAACTATTTGTCTGGGCTGGCTTCAAACCACGATCCTCCCGATCTCTGCCTCCTAGTAGCTAGGATTATAGGCGTGAGCCACCGGTGCCTGGCATGTTCTGAGACTTTTCAAAGGGCAAGAATAATCCTTGGTAAACCCCTTCCCAAACTTAAGTAAGAGGAAGGAGGTTGTGGCTTTCTTGTTGGTTTTTTCCCAGCTTTTTAATAGTTGAAGTCTCTTTTTGCCTTATCTTCCAGCCCAACAGCCTTATGGAAAGAGGTGACTCCCCCAAAAGCAGCACAAAGGGCTGGTGGGGGCCTTGGGTGAGGAACTTGGGTGAGGAACTGGACTCAGGAAGATGCTGGGTTGTGCCTGGTCGTTGAGGCTTTGTGGAGAAGGTTGGGTCTGCCAGTTGCCCAAGTCTAGAGCCAGGGTTCCTGGGAGCCTCTCTAGGCCTAGGTTCCCTCTTCAGAGCCCAATCACTGGCCACATTGTTTAGGCCTTCCCCACCTCCGACCTATTCCTGAGGCCACCTCCAAGAAGTCATGAAGGCTAGCCTGTCCTTTGGCTGTGAACTTGGCAAGGCAGCTGGGCATCTTTCCTGGGACTGGAGCTTGATGGGTACAGAATCCCCTGAGAATATCCTGGAAGAACAGCTGTTATTAGTACACTCCAGGTGCCTTCCAGAGCCTTCCTTCCCTGGCCTAGGGGGCTCAACTAGACCTCAGCAACCCCAGCCTGTCTCCTGGAACTTTCCTCAGCTAGGGCAGAGGTTAGCACAAATGTTCTGCACCTCTTTTAGGCCACAAGGATGTGTTTGTGACAGAGCCTGGGCACAAGCTGGCAACCAACATGTCTCTGTTTGCTGCTTAGAGAAGCCCATTGTGTGCAGATCTCATGCCATGCCAGCCTGGGCCCTTGGAGATTAGGCCTGGGGGAAGAGGGAGGGATAGCTACAAGGAAAGTGCCCTTCTCCCTTCCCTTCTCCAATATGGCTAGACACACTGACAGTGACAACAGTGAGCCTGTCATGAAATAATAAATAATGTTTATTATTTAAGAGCAGTAAAAACTAATAAAAGTAAAGTTTAGTCATTCATAGTAAGGTAGATCAGATTTTTAAAAGATATATGCGAAGGACTGGAGGTGTGGCTCAAGTGGTAGAGCACTTGCTTTGCAAACATGAGGCCCTGAGTTCAAATCCCAGTACCAAAAAAAAAATTAAAAACTATAAGCAAAAAACGTCTATATTGTGGTGCACACCTGTGAGTCACAGATACTTGGGAGACTGTGGCAGGATGACCATTTGAACCCAGGAGTTCAAAACCAGTCTGGGCAACACAGTCTCAAGGAAAAAATAAAAAAGATACAAGCATACTGTAGCATGTAAATAGATGTGCATGATAACAGGTAACATAGAATCAAAGGACTATTATCCCCATTTTACATACAAGGTTGTCAAAGTTTGTTGAGAATAAGTTATTTCCATTATTTTTATTATTATTTTTTTGGTGGGACTGGAGTTTGAACTCAGGGCTTTGTGCTTGCTAGGCAAGTGCTGTACCACTTGAGCTATGCCCCAGTCCTTTTTGCTTTTTGGTTATTTTTCAGATAGGGGCTTGCATTTATGCCCAGGCTGGCCTTAGACTGTAATCCTCTTACCTATGCCTCTTGAGTAGCTGGGCTTATAGATGTGAGCCACCATGCTCAGCTAAGTAACTTCCTTTAAATCACATTGAAGAAGTTGGCAGATTACAACTCCAACAAAACTGAGGTCTGTGTGGTTGCCTAGGTACTGTTGCCTCAGCTCTGGCTAATACTGCTCATTATGGTTGTTAGAAAGATGAAAGAGAAATGCAGTGCATGCCAAGGCCAGTGCCCATAGTAGGCACCCCATTGCTTATTTTATTTGTGTATTTCAAGGGTGTAATAGAATGAATTCCACAGGTGAAGCAGTCAGTAAATGTTTCCTTTATCACCATCACCGTCAACATCATCATTTTCTCTAGTAAAGTGGAAGGTCTTTGTATGTGTGGTTTTGGGGATTGAACCCAGTGCATGCTAGGCAAGTGCTCTACCACCCAGCTACATCCCCAGCCCTGGAAGCTCTCTGAGGTCAGAGACTAGAGATATAGATGGTCTTTGAGCCCCCACCCCCAGCACTGAGCCCAGCATAGCGTAGGGCATGGCGGTGTCTGGGGAATAATGAGTATGGTGCATTGCTGACCTTTTCTATTTTCCCTTTAACTTTTACAATGGCAACTGTCTTCCCAAATGCTCACGAAAGGGCTCAGGCCCCCCACTGGACGTGACTGACTCCTGAACTTTTCTGTTATGAGCCCTTAAC